GGCCGCCCCCCCCCCCAGCGTCCGTCACTGAGCTGCGGTGTTTCTTGGGACTAGCTTCCTACTACAGGAGGTTTGTGAAGAATTTCGCCAGCATTGCTAGTCCCCTCCACTGGCTCACTGAGAAAGGGTGAGCCTTCCTCTGGTCTGGATGCATGTGAGGCAGCTTTCCAACAGCTCAAAACGGCCCTGGTTGGGGCACCTGTGCTAGCCTACCCCGATGCCCAGCAGCCCTTCATTCTTGACACGAACGCCAGCGGAGCGGGGGTTGGCACAGTGCTTTTGCAAACAGGAGAGACTGGGGTGGCCTTCTACAGTTGTAGCCTGAGCCGAGCAGAGCGCAATTATTGCGTCACCAGATGGGAACTACTGGCTGTCATCTTGGTGGTGAGACATTTTTGGCCATATCTCCTGGGCAGCCGGTTCTTGCTGCGTACGGACCATGCCTCACTCACCTGGCTGCTTAATTTCAAACAGCCTGAGGGCCAGGTTGCGAGGTGGCTGGAAGTGCTACAAGAATATGACTTTGAAGTGCAGCATCGTCCGGGACACCAGCATGTCAATGCTGACACCCTCTCCAGGTGTCCATGCACCGTGGAGGGGTGTCGGCACTGCCCGCGACAAGAGGAAAGAGGTCAGGTGTCAGAAGCCGCGGCCACGGAGGCCGTCACTCACCAATCAACACATCTACAGCCTTGGACTAAAGAGCAACTGAGGCACCAACAAGGAGCCGATCCTGTCTTAGCAATGGCGAGGGGATGGCTAGAGACTCAACAACGCCCCAACTAGCCCACAGTGTCCTCGGAGGGACCCGAGGTGAAGGCATTGTACTCACAGTGGGGTAACTTAGAGCTTCACGAAGGGGTGCTCTATCGGCAATGGCAGGCCCCTGATCGGGTATCCAGTCGCCTGCAGCTCCTGGTCCCTCGTGCCCTAAGGCCAGAGGTTCTCCGGTGGGTGCATGGTTCGGTGGGGATGGGACACTATAGCAATTCAAAGACTCTTCGTCGCCTGAGGCAGAGATTCTATTGGGCCAGGTGTCAGCAAGATGTCAAACTTCATGTCCACTGTTGCGACACCTGTATCGCTCAGAAGGGGCCCAGTCAGAGATCCCGCGGGTCCATGCAGCAGTATGTGGTGGGGGGGCCCCATAAAGAGGGTAGGAGTGGACATACTGGGCCCGTTCCCCGTTACGGACTCCGGCAACCGGTACATCCTTGTGGCCAAGGATTACTTCCCTAAGTGGCCCGAGGCGTATGCAGTACCAGACCAAGGGGCCACTACAGCCGCTAAC